GAAGTAGCCTTGTTGCTGGTAGCACTGATTGGAAGCCAAGAATTGGTACAGAGGCTTCGCGCTGCTTGTCGTTGTGGTGTTTGTTGCGAACCTTCTTGAATTTCTTCAATTTTGGTCGCAAACAATGAGGACTCCTAGGCTTGTATCTCTGACGAAACTGAGAGAAAAACTTGTCTGCTTTCTCACGGGCCCGAATCTTTTCCTCGCGGAAGGATTGAAGCTTGAGAACGAGAGCACGACTTGATTCGAATTCACGAGAGATAGGAGATGTCATTTTAATGAACGGCTGATGCACCGGTGTAGCTGCAGAAAATTCACCACCATATTTCGCCGTAAGCAACTGCAATTGCTGCAAGATCACAGCTTGGCGTGCTTTGCATTCGTTCCGAAATTTGGCCTGAGAAGTCTTGAATTCATCGAACTTGGTTTCCAAATTAGAAACTCTCGATTCCATGGTCTTGCGCGTCGTTTGCCGCATTATACAACGGAGAAGTATAACAGAACAACAATACAAACAACGAATATTTCATTAACCGCCTTGCTTCTCTTACAATGTACTATTTATGCTAATACCCAACTCTTACCTCTCTGATAGGTTGCTGTGTATTGTGACAATTGGGCAGGATTGTAGAGATGAGTTGGCAATTGCTGACTAGGACAAACAAGAATTAGTTAGGAATTGTTGGCTGTTAAGGTGGTTAGTGAGTGTCTTAGGGAGGAAGCTACCTAGTCACTATACAAAAGGAAATACTGTAAGAAGGAGGTTGTTGTTGTAATTGTTGATATCGTAATAAGAAAAATACATCTCTCTGTACATTGAGCAGAGGCAGAGTGTGGGTTTGTATCACTGTCACCACAAGATGATGCCATATGGCATCCTAACACGAAGTTACTTCACCAACATTAAAATTTAAAACTCAAATCATTTGTAAAACCTTAGCATCATAGCAAGTTGTAAAATGTTGAAACAACCATATTACTTGCAGGAAAAGAAAAGTACAGAAAATGAGTACAAAATCAGATCCCAAAACACTTATGGTATGTTTGTTGCATTGGACTATCTTGGACTGAACTAACTTCAGGAACTAAGCTGGACTAACTTAGAATAGACTAAAATAGAAATGTCTAGTATAGTGTCGGACTAAGAAGTAGCATAGTTTACAAACTCCAATATTGTATTATTTAATTCACAATTATTAATATTTTATTATTAATCCCCTTTTTTCTCCCTTCCATGTCCCACTTTGTCCCTCTTTTTCTCACTTCTTTGTCCCACTCTCTCCCTCTTCCTCCCCAGATCAAACCTTGCCGGACTGGACTCTCGGAAATTTTCATGTCGACTCCCTATCGATTCCTCTCTCTATCTCTCTATCCTTCCTCCATTTCTCCTAGCTACACGCTATTCGAACAGAACCCTCATTGCCAAACCTCTTTTCCCAACATGTTTTCCTCGATCAAACCTTGTCGTATTGGACGAAGTTAGATCCACCAACAAACTCCGCACCATCTCTGGACCTAGATTCGAGCTTTGCACACTCGAATCTATCACGGATTCGAAGAAGCCCAAACTGGCCGAGACTTCCAGGCCATTTTTCGGCCACCTTCGACCTCCGTTTTGGTACTGATTCAAGTATAATCCCCTAACTTCCAGCTCCAATTTGGTATTTATGTGAAAACTGGTTGTGAAACGAATTTGAAAATTGGTCGGTCTTAGCTAGTGCCATGATTTTTGAGGGGTGTCACTAAGAACTGCTAGCCCCATGGTTAGTCGAGGTGAGTGAAATTTTGTGTCGTTAAACCCTATCTCTGTAGGTAACAAACATGGAACTAGAGTCCAGTCCAATGAGAGTTAGAGAAGGCAAACAAATGCCCCCTTAGAGTTTATTCTATATTTTCATTACATAGAACGTAAGCTTTTCTTGTAGCCACTAGTGTAGATATTTTAAATTGATGATCGAGTTTGTTCATCGTTTTCTTCTAAGGTTGAGGATTGTATTTATAAAAAATCATCAAAATCAAAGCTAAAACGGCTGTTAAATCATGACTTTTCGTTTCTAACTATTAAATGATTTCACCTCATTACCTAATCTTCCAACGCTTTGACATGCGAGCTTCTTGGGATAACTTCAAAAAATACAATGGATCCAAGGGCACCACAATGAAGTCAGTCTCATCGAGAACTTTCTGTAAAAACAATATCACCCAAAACGGTGGTTGGAATCAAGAGATACGACTGATGTTGTTGATAATTGCAAGGGTACAATATCGTCCAAGTAATATAATGATAAGTAGAGTGTCGTTCAAACAAGGATTGAATTAACCTAAATTTAATATTGAGATTGACTCCAAACTAAACGTAAATAAAAGAAGGATTACGTTGACAAATTCAAATATGCAAAGAAACCAAACAAAAGTGATAATATCAATTGATCGAACACGAAGTAAAAGTGAATGAATTATGAAAGATTAATATATTGAAGCACTAGAACATCAGGTTCCTCAATCCATCTATTCCCGTTATTCATATTAACATCAAATTGTTCCCATATTGCTAGTAATTATCCCTTGATTCGTCAATATTCCCTGTTAGAATATACCAACCGTGTTTCTAACTATCTACCCATGCTATGTCTAGCCACAGATATAGATAATCGAAACCATTTACGCTAAATGGATAATTACACAATACTACACAAATCATAACCAGTATGTCTACTCAATTATGTAATTCATGGTAATTGTTATGAGAAGCAATCTACTAAACTCAACCTATCAATCACGATTTAGATCTCCACACAAATAATGACCAGTTATTTGATAACAATAAAGCACAATAACAATTACTCAACATGAAAATTAACTGAGATTAATATAAAATAACAAGAATTAGATGTTCATGATAAGAGTACACCCTAGTCCTAGCAAAAGGACTTAGTTCATGATTAAACTAATGACAAACATGGATGAATTCGATGACATAAAGAAACCCAAAACTCCAATTCTGTATCTGTGTGCAATAAGCCCTGGGAACCTGCAACCTTCTATGAATTTCTCTAATTGAAAGTCTATGTGTGTACGAGATATCTCCTCATTCTCCTCCCTTCCTTGCGGCGCTATGTTCCTCCCTTTTATATGTCTCTTTTTATTATTATTATTATTTTCTTAATTTCACGACAAAGGAATTGATTCCAATTCATTGTGGGAATGGTTCACATCCCCAAACCTGCACCGCCTAGTTAGTTGGGCTGCTTAATTGGACTGCCTTTAATGTCCAATGCACCACTCCATTCCTTGCTCGGTGCTCCAACCCACTTGGCAATTCTTTGATTTTCTCCAAATTAAACCTCCAATTCCCCGTTTTGTTTTGTTCACAAATTATGTTTTCTACAAAAATCGCACAAAAACACATCAAACTCACCAATTTACTATAAAATCATTACTAAGTTATAGGTATAAGAGGTATAATATATATATATATAATACCATCCTAACAACTGAGTCAAAAGTCAGGTCACAAACAGGTATGGTTGACCCCGCTGCCTGAAAATGTATATGGGCTGGGCAAACTTTATGTTTTCGGAAAGTCAAGGTTTTTCTGATTATGAGGTTCAACTTTGTATCTGTAGTATTTGGCAAAAAAAATCAAAATGCCCTCCAATTTAAACCACTTCTAAGTTATTTGTTTTAACTCGGAATTGGGCTTCGTTTGCGCCAACACATTGGATTGATTTCTATTCATCTATTATAAACCAATCTTGAAACATCAAAGTAAAATTTAAAATGATCAAAGTGCCCTTTAAATCATTTTTCTCATAATTGTAAACTATATAAGAATAAATTTCAAGACGGGAAATCACATATACGTCCCTAACCGTTAAGATTTGTCCCTCAAAGAAAAGAGAGAAACCTTAGCCAAAATTCCCTAGTGTGCCGACCATAATGATTCCAAGTGAGAGATCATGCTAGCACAATTGAGTCTGCACTCCATCTTTCATTGTTGATTTATCAATATAGATACTCCTCAACACTTGGGAAGTTTTCTCGTGAATCTTCGTGAATACAAGCACAAGAATGATCATACAAAGTGGTGCACACACAACTAAGAATTCACATAAGTACTAATTCATTGGTCTTCTTCACTTATTGCATTATCTATTTACAACCAACCCTATATGTAATTGGAATTATAAATCACAATTCTTATTTATTTTTCATTGCGTATTTAATTATTAAAATTAGATTAATCCCAATTATATACCGAAAATCAACTACTATAGTATCAGTGAGTCATCACCAATTCTTCAGATTCGTGGCAAATCACGCTCTGTGAGCGGGAGCGGTGGGATTCACAGAGATATGCCTGGGACTGGCTCGACACTGCTTAGAAATGGCTGATGAGCAACTTGGAATCATCAGTGCGGCTTGGAAGGCAAAAGTTGCTGCGGTCGGAGGAAAAAGGGAAAAAAATTAAAATGCCCTAAACCAGAAATGACGTCGTTTTGCTTTGCCCAACCACAAATGAAACGTGTGTTTTGTTTGAATAGTACGTAGCTGCTTTTTAAGACTAGGCGAACCCTTGTTTTAAGATTAAAAAATAAGAAAACTAATGAAAATAATTTGAAAACTTTAAGTGTTAACGATAAAGATAAAATAAAGGGTAAAATGAATAGTACCATGATTAACTTTTTAATGTAAAAATGTGATTTTTTGTTAAAATGAATAATATCGGGAATTTTTCGTTAAAGTTCCTAGAAAATAAGGGTTTAGATATTTTGACCTAATAAATATTAAAACAATTATTAAAAATTTCCGAAGACTATAATACATCTATAAAGGTAGTGTTTGGAGGACAAAAATTGGCCGCTTATGCTTGATTTAGATTGAACTAGAAAATGTGCCCGCACGATGCTGCGGGACTTAAATGCATCACCTTGAACTACATGAATAAAATACATTTCACCTGAATAAATTCAACACAATCATGAATGAAGAGAGGAATAGATGAGTGAATGAGGTCGGTAAGATATGCAACTTTGTTTTTATATACATTCAACTGAACTAACATGAAAAGACATTGTACAATGAGCAGGACGAAACTGAATGTTTTGGTTCCCTAAACTGAAACCCCTTGTCTCAGACACCCAACACCTCTCACCCTCAGATAGCCCTAAACGAAGTGCCTCGTAGCATCGAATTGGCCTACAACACCCCCGGGCGAGATTGAGACTACTTTTCATATTTTCATTTTAATGTACCAGCAAGGAAACGATAGTATATTCCAAAATTAGCAGTTTACAGAGAAATATAAATATTGTTTTCAAGAAATTAATATGATTGCAAATGTAATAGGTCCATACATAGTGAGGTAGGATAAATGATGGAAGACGCACTGAAATTTGAGGTCCATAGGTTGAGAAGAGTCCATAGCATTGATCCATATATGGATAGCTTGCACAGATCTACAATTCAAGCTCCGAATAAAGTATCAATTTATCAGCAATTGTGACATTCATTATTCCTAAAAAAGTTATTGATTCACAAATAAACAAATGAAAGTAATCGGAAAGAAACGCTTACCACATGCTAGCTGAATCCGAACTCAAAATGACCACGATATTTTCCCAGCAATGATCACAAAGATATTGATGCCTGGGACTTCTGTCCATCCCTGAAAACAATGGAATAATATACCCATTAAAAAACGTCACAAAAAGATTTACAGTAACTGTCCCAACTATTATAATTATATGGTTTTATTGGCATATTCAGACTTCAAAATAAAAGCTGGCTGTTTGCACTCGTAAACAATTTCTCTTTACAAAACTAAATAAATTGTAATGACCCAAGAAATCAAAATTTGATTAGGCATTAGAAACAATGTTACCTTTTGGAGAAAAGGATGCTCAACCAAATGGAAGCCCCAATTTAAAACAGCAACTGAATGAAAATCTGACGTTATAAAATCCATAAGAAGCGTGTAATGCGTCTAATTTAAAAAGTCTCTCACACATGTAATTGCACGTAGCGGTTGCAAAATTCACAATCAAAAGCTTTCACTTTGTTTTGATTTGCAAAATACCAAAAAGACATTTACAATCGAGGAAAGAAAACACATTTGATTAAAGAATGCGCTTTAGCCATTATCAAATTGTCAACCGAGCGAAATGTATAAAACTACACACATTTACACAACCAAACTCTATAATTTTTATCAGCGAAAAAAAAACAGCAATTTACCTAACAATAAACATAAAATTACATATTCAAATTGATTCGACAGTTTTTAAAGATTAAAAAAATGAACAGACATTTTTTTGAATATCAAACTCATTGTGTCATCTGAATTCACTTGTATACATAAGCTACCAATGCAATCACTCTGCTATCACATGTGGTAAGCTCTTAATAGCAGAGGACAAAAAAAATTACAGAACAAACTCGCAACCAAAATGAGTTACGATCTAAAATAAGAGCATAACGATTAAACTATCCGATAAGAAATGATGAATGAAAGCGATTTTCTATCAAACAACTAAAGACCTAAATTGTAATGTCTATAAGGTAACCTGCACTTAAAAGAATAAACCATGCCAAAAGCATGGTATAAATGAACTAAATTACGAACTCGACAAAAAAAAAGCGTAAACGTTAAACAATTTAAAAGAAAAGAAACAGCCTTTACTTCGACTCTTGTTTCCTTGCCCTTTTATTTTCCCAGATACTTCCTAGTGGGAAATAAAAACCTTTAATTAAGTGAAATGTTAGCCAAAAAATCGACAGGATTAGAGCAAAAGAAAGCAACAAAAAGGTCTAACTTATGTGGTTGAGCACTATGGGTTAATAAAATACCGATCTAACCACAAACCTTTTTCCCCCATCCAAATTTTAATGTTAACTAAGAGATATAAGACAAAATCGCAATAGAGAAAATAGGTGAATTAGATCATAAACGCTGTATCAATAACTGAGATTGAATAGAATGGGGTGTCATTGTTGTTCTCAACTTGGACACCGGTATATACATGCTTTGACAGTTGGTACGTACATATTTCCAAAGATATAAGCAAGTTTATTGGAATATACATACATACATACATATATATATATATATATAGATATATACAGTGGTTACTAAATAAGAAAACAATTCCATCCCTTTCAGATCTTACTAGAAAGTGTGACCCGCGCGTTGCTGCGGGAAGTCAGACTCCTGCGTTGCTGCAGCATTGAAAATTTTATAACATATTATGGTTGAAACATATAAAAGATCATGTATCCAATGATTGTAGACCTAATAATCATGCACTCAACACTGAACACCTAAATGTCATCAAACCAAAGTAAACTTTCATTTAACTAAGTTCTTAGCACTTCAGTTAAATCTCAAGTTAAAAAAAAAAAAGTAGTTCAATTTGACTAAAATTACACGGAGGGAGAAAGACAGAACAAACAGTTGTGGAAAGGTGTACAATGACACTGATCCTGCAAGTCAAATATGAAAAATGTTCAAAAGAGTGTAAAAGCTCAAATTATTCCTAGCATCAGTAGATTAACAATGAAGAAACAAAATTCATTTAAGTTTACATTGCTTGTCGGTTGGCAATTCAGCATGGGAAAAAATGCAAGAAAAAAATATTGTTAAAGCGAATAAGTGAATAAGAATGAACATTATATTTAGTATATCATGAATATGCATGTGCATGGTAAATACTAAGCAAGAATATGGATAGGCAAACAGTAAGTATCAATTACCCATTTTAATTAACACTTTAAAAAAAATTGTTTTAAAGTATAAAAAATATTATTAAAAAAAATTCTATATACTATACAGACACAATGAGTGAAAATATATACCATTTGACAATACAAAATCAAGCAATGTCTAAAGATGATAAACAGATCCTAGATAGTGTTTCTTACAGAAAGCAGAACCATTAGATCATATGCATTGAAACAATTAACAAATTTTCAATGGGCAATACTAAATGTTTATTACTTAAGATCATTAAATAATGACTGCTCACCTTTTCATCAATCAGTATACAGCGCAGGCCCATATATTTATCAGCCGTTTCTGGAATTCTCGCTCTCCACATTGTACACAGGACTTGAATTTTTACTGCCTTTTTATACGGTTGTAACTGATTGATAGGTGTTGGAATTGCATCTTTCATTCAAGCCACTGAAATTAAATACAAATTTTGTAAATTTGTAAAGTCATTACAGAAAGTTTAAAATAAACGCTGGAACAACCAACAATTTATCAAACAGAAATTTCATAATACTATTGATTTTTAACACAGATAAAAATGAATAGATAAATAAAATATCAAATTTAGTTTAGTCAGTTTATATTCAGTTTATTGCTGTATTTACGCTGACTATGAAATAATCCTCATGAAATGAAAAACACAGATACAAACCTTATATGTGTTCATTTCTTTTTTTTCATCAGACCAGTTTTCATTCTCTAGCTCGAGTTTAATTTTTCTTTCGACTCACTATGTAGATGGGTTCAACCTCCTTTTGTTTTTCCTAGATTTTTTTCACTGAAATACAAACCTGTGTGAGTGCTTAAAAACCTGCATTGGTTATGGATATTAACAGTTGCATAATGTATATACCTGCAACATTAGAGCAGATGAGGAACAGTTAGTATCATCAATAGTACTTGTCCTCAACATGAACTTATCATCCAAAGCGGTATTAAATTTGTTTCATTCTTCATCATCTATGATATAAATGAATAATACATCTCAAAAGAATGAAAAAAAAAATATACACAAAATATAGTTAACATTGCTTTGTAATTTCATATCAAAAGGGCATAAAAAGTTGGTTGATTCATTTGTGAACTAAATTAAAAACAAACTTAAACGTTAATTTACTAATGAAGAGGTTGATTATTCGATGATAAACTTCACATGCACGCATTGTGTATTTAAGGTGAGCAATTTCAAGATTTTATACCTGAGGCACCTGGAACCGTACATACAAAAGCGCAAAAAAAGGTAGCCACTGCTTCCTGAAAATAAAAAAGAACCAAATCATATATACCCACTCTAAAAATCCAAACACAAACACTAATCCATAAGTTAATTATCACCAATTTTTTTTACAGAAAATAGATCCGCAAACGAAACACTACTCAAATAAATTCTAAATTTTGTTCAACAAAAAATTTAAGAGGAGGAACATAAATTATATACCTTAATCAGAAAGGGCTTGCAACGTTTCCTGAAATAAAAAACAACTAAATCATACACCCACACTAAAAATCCAAACACATAAACGATGAACACTTCTCCCTGAAAATTAAAACAACCAAATCACACACCCACACTAAAAACCCAAACAGACAAAGGAAACCGTAAAAATTAATCATCTGTATTGTTCTTTTTTTGTATTTTTATAAAAAAAATAAAAATAAAAAATTGAACCAGAAACGAAACAGGACCCAAAAAAATTAAAAATTTTGTTAAAAAAAAGATTTAAGAACAAAACATAAATTATATACCTGACCCAAAAATGGCTTGCAAGCTCGTACAATAAAACCCTAAAATTCAAAGACCAATGTTCCCTGCAACCAAAAACGAAATCAGATCAAACAACCATACACAAAGTACGAAAAAATTAAGAAAACACCCGGTACAAAATGCCTAGACTTGAATTTTACACTAATCAATTGAAAAATTTTCTTGCTATCCAAACAGAAAATAAAGAAGCGAATGAAGCAACGCACCTAAAACGGTGCGATTGGTTTCTGGAAAAGAGAAGAAAAAAACAGACGAACTACCTTTTTAGACGATCGGATCAAAATCTAAACGGAAAGACAGGCGGAGAGATATAGAGAGAGCAAAAGAAAAGGAGAAGACAGAAGAGAAGAGGAAAGTGAAAAGTGGAAAGTGGAAGATGCTTCCAGCCAAAAAATAAAACAACCAGCCTCTGAACAGAACCCCCCACGATGATCAACACGTGGAAGCTAGAGGTACCAAAAGCAGAGTCTAACCAAAAATTAAAACAAACAAAGGCTAAGCAACAACATATACGGGAGAGAGAGAGAAAACATAATAATTAAAAAATTAATGGCAGGACAAACAAATTATATAAAAAATAGAAGTTAAATCAGGCCACATAGTTTGTGGCACATCAAACACTAAAAAATTATAAAAAAACCAAGGGAAAAACACAGAAACAGAGGAAGAAAAGGGGAAAGCAACGGAAGAAAATGGAAGAGCCTTCGAGCACCTTCCCCATCAAAAACGACGCACACAGTAAGAGCACGTGACACAATTAATTCTCACCTTCTCCCAACAGGCGAGATGACAGGGATGCAGGAAAGCATGCGAGGGGAAGTCAGGAGAGAAAAAGCCAATAAATATCTCAATTTTTAATAATTGTTTTGTCCATGTATCTAATTTTTTTATAATTTTTTAATGTGTTGTTTGCCACAAACCATTGCAGGATCTGAGTGGAAGACAAAAAAAAAAGCAAAACCTAAAAATAAAATAACCAAAAGGCAAAGCAATGAGAGACAGGTGGCTTCTCATAAATTTTAATAATTATTTTGTGCATGCATCTAATTTATTTATAATTTTTTATTGTGTTTTGTGCCACATGGATCGAAGGTGAGATGGCGACAGGGATTGCAGGGAAGCATGGAGAAGTCAGGAGAGAAAAAGGAAGCAAATACCTAGAATCAAAAGGGTAAAACGGCAAAGCCGAGCAACACGCGGGTTAAAAAAAGGATAAAGGAAAGGGGTAAAAACGACATTTCATGTAGCATCTTCAAAATGCCAAAAAAGTGAGCGTTAGATCAGGGGCATTTTAGTCATTACACTGCTCGTGAACAGTGCTTTTCACCGGGTTTTAGTATATAGATAATATGTATATATAAGCATTCGTAAAACTTCAGAGATATGCAAAAGTTTTGATAATGTTAAACCAATGAGACCTTAAATACATATTCCATAGATAGAACAATTACCATATCTGCTTACAACATTAATATCCATAAGCCAAATTATTCATATGTGAACATAGGCATCTGTAAAGTTTGAAAAAACATTAGCTTGTTCATGACTTATAATCAAATACTGCACGAAAGTAATATGAAATGTAAATCTACACTAACAACATGAAGTAATATGAAATGTAAATCTACACTAACAACATGCCTGAGTCCTCTTCTAGACGAACCTCAATTAAATGACAGAAGTAATATTTAGCAAATAGTAATTGTATAGCTTCAGTCTTATGACAATGCAATCATGCTGATCTCTAATTGAAGGTCTAATAGCCATGCATCTTTGCAAATATACAATTATAAACGATCAGAAAAGAACATGACAGGTTGTTCAAGCTTGAAACAGCAAAAAAAATCAAGGAATGCAGAACTAAGGATTGTCAAATGGCACAACATGGAGAAAGGATGGAACAAAGATATCCATTGTGGTGATGTAATAGTCTGTGATGCGTAGTAAGTCGAGTTAAATGAAAAAAATACCATTTCTAAAAACAACAAATAGACATTTAAACCTGTTGTACATATTGGTTGTTAGAAAGTTTCAAACACAGTTAGAGATTTGTATTATAATTTAGTTTGTATAAAAGTTAACAAAACAGAACAAAATTTTAAAATGGATAGACAAATACCTTAGTAATGGTTGATTTGGTGGCTGCTGTGTGAATGAATGGTTTGATCTGTATGCTTGTGTTGGATCTACATGCATATGAAAAATAAATTAAAAAGTGCATCACACAAATACAGAAGCAACCAAGAAATGGAAAAACAACCTAGCAACATAGAGATATTCGAATGATGTGAAATGGAAAAAGAACCTGAAGGTGATTTGGTGAGAAGCAATTAGTGGGAAAGTATGAAGAAACACACAATGAGCACAGTGCAACCCCTTTATTTATAAAGACAGAAATCTGACTCTAACAGTGAACTGAACAGTTAACTAAACAACCAAAACTCCCAAATTTAAAAACAATAAACTTAAAAAGGAGTTTGAATTTTGTTTACCTATAAGCAAAGGGAAAAAAAATATCTGAAAAACACAAAAATCAAGACAGTGTAATCCCTTAATTCACAAAGACTAAGAGCAAAACTCAAATAGTTATCTAAACAATTAATAAATATCTATGACACCTTTAATGAAGCTTACTGGCTATGTGCAATGGAGCACCACAAATTTATCTACATTATGGTTGTTAGGAGAACGGATTAAGTTGTAGGAAAAAAATGTGGACATATAGCTAACCCTAGAGGTGATCTGAACAACCTAGAAAAGACTAAGAGCAAACCCTAATAGCTAAGTAAACAATATAAAATATCTATGATAGCATTAATGATAGAAAAAATATCTATGACAATTTTAATAAATGGAACGGCTAATCAAACAGTAAACAACAATTAAAAACAATAAACTGAAAAAGAGTTAACACTAAGGTGAGCTGAACAATCTACAAAAGATCTATGACAATTTTAATTAAGGAACAAAAAACTTGTAACAATTCTAAAACAGAAAAAGGATCAATCAGACAAAAATTAATCAAGAAACAAACAAATTAAAGCAATGGAAGACCCTAATTCACAAAAACAGAGACATAATCCCACCACCCAACTCACAATTGATAAACATCCATTACAATTTGAATGAAAGAACAAAATATAAATGAAAATTTTAACAAAGCAAATGGCAATTAGACACTAAACAATGAAAAAAAGGCAGTTCATTACCTTTTGAATCAAGGGAGAAAATTGAAAACCCAGACCCTGCCATTCGTCCCTCACCCATCCCCTCTTCACCGCCTCTATGCGTAACCCGTTAACCCTAAAGAATACACACACCCATGCTTTCCGCTCTGTATCTCTCTCCCTGGCCATCTCTCTCTCTAAAATGGGAGAAAATTCCATAGATCCTGGCAGAGCACCTACCTTAATCTCTCTCTCACTCAGTCCAAACCCGTAGCTCCCATCTCTCTCCAATTTGTCAGGCCCTGTGTCTCCCTCCTCTGTGGTCGCTCTGTCCCCCTCTCTCCGCTCGCCAGAGGCACACCCAGCTGTCTCCGAGTAAAAAATGAGAGCGATTGTCTCTCTCCAATTTGTCAGGCATGATGTCCCCCTCCCGTCTCTCTTGCCGAGTCAAACATGAAATGCAGCCAACGGCTGAAAGAAGGTTTTTAAGCCTAAGTGGCAATTTTGTAAATTAAGTGAAGTGGGTTAAAAGCATCAGTGGCTATCCTGTAAATAAACTGAAATCAGGTACAATGAACAGTAAAGAACAGTGCCAATTGCAATGCTTTCTTTAGACTAAAGTAATGTTAATTGTGCCTCATCTTCGATCGACATCCGTATATCAAAGTTCACATTGGAATTGACATCAACAATTAGCTTCAGTTTTCTTCTTAGCAAACTCATGTTCTTTATCATCGTGAGTCTGACGAAGGGTGTTTAGAAAAAAATAGCAATTTGGTGTATTTATGTTAGAGTATTTTTAGTATTTTACGTATTAGGGTTTTGTAGTATAAAAAAAAACAGATAATGAATACAAATGTAGGGAACAATTTTCTGGCAAGTAGGTGTATGAATCTAAATCATTCTTCTCTCAATGAGCTGGAGTATTGTAAGTAGTATCTAATCTAACTAACCAGCTAGCTAGCTTTTATTGTTAGTGATCAATCTGTTTGGTGATGAACATATTCCATTTCACCCTAATCCAAGTATCTTTCCCAATCAATTTCCCAAGTCCCAATACGTACGGACATATTCCAAATTATTTGGAAACAGTATTCATATGATTACAATGCAAAACGATGACAAATCAGAATTTAATTAATTAAATTAAAAGAGAATATTTAATTAGGAAAAATTAGTATTCAGTCCTTAGTCCTTAGTTTCTAATGTTCATTGATTAAGACCTTATTAGTTTTTAGATTTTGATCAAATTCCCTATCATTAATATATTAATGAATTACATGTAAGTTACATAATTTTTATAATAAAAATTAGTAATTGATTTAGAATTTTATTATTCACACCCTTATTAAACTCCTAATTAATTTTCAATTCAAACGTTTTCAAATATAAAAAATAAAATTAGAATAAGTTTGTACCCATTAAATTTTTATAAAAGAAATTGATATGTACCCATTCTTAATATACCAATTTGTTATATGAAAAATGTACCTTTTTTTTAAATATAAAATGTACCCATTTTTTATATAAAATTCATTCAATCTTTTCTCTAATCCATTTTTAACTTATATGGGTACATTCTATTTCGTTGATTGAGAATGTATCTATGTTAAGTTTAATAGAAGAAATTTAATAATGTTATTAAGCCTAAATTTTTTTTTTTTTTTTGAAAAATGTACCCATGTTTTGGTATAATAATTTTTTGGTTAGTTTTTTATGAACGTACCCATGTACACACACACACACAATATATTTGAGATTACAATTTATCTTTAATATATTTTTAGTCCCATAAATTATGGGTTCTATTTTAAATCTCATTAATAAAAATAACTACAAATTTTATTTTTAAGTTAAAAATATAATAACCTACATAAAAATACATTATTACATTAATATCATGGACTTCAATCAAAAACTAAAAATCACAAAGGTTTCAATCAAAGAACATTGGTAGTTAGGGATCGCATCTAAAGTGTCCCATTTAATTAAGAAGCAGGAGCAACAAAGCAAATATTCGGAAGCGACTTTGCTATCTATGTCGCATTGCTTCTCGTTTTCTTCGCACAACAGCGTTGGCAAAGCCATCGATCGACCGATATCCCAACAGTCCACACAAGCAGCCCTCCTCCTATTTGGGTCCTTCCTCTCTCCCCTCTCTCTCTCTCTCTTCTTTCTCTCTCTCTCCCAACACAAACCCGCTGGCATCAGCATAACCAATCGCATCTCTCCCTAATTTATTTCCTTCCTCCTTGTTCTCCTCTCTCTTTTAAGAGAAATGCCCGTTTTGTCTCTTCCGCCGGATATCTGACTTCCGACCGCTACATCATCTCCCTCTCCCTCATCCGCCCCCGCCCCAGCTTCCATGGGACCCCATCACCACTCTCGCCGCGAGTCCCTTTGCAGCTCCCTTCTCGCCCCCCGTCCGGACTACCACAACTCCGACCCTGACCTCGTCTGGCCCTTCGGCAAGCTCGAGGGCATCGACCGTGATGAGGTGCGCGAGACCACGTACGAGATCT